TTGGGGCTAAGCTGTTCAAGATGATTCATCTGAAGGCTGATTGTGCATTGGGTTGAAGAGGGAAGTAATCAGGGCTTCAAAGAACCATCGGCCTTTGAGGATACAGAGATTGACAACTGCACCGTTGAAATGGGAGTGGAACAATGGAAGGGAGAGATGCTGGAGAGGCAGAATGAGAAAGCCTGTTAGCTTGTCACACAGGAAGGGAAGAGAGATGGAGAGGAGCCAAAGGTTTTGACATTCCAGGTAAGAAGAGTGGGTTTCCGAGAGAGGGCTTGATCTGTACCTTGGAGCCATCTTGCATGTAAAGTGTTGTAAGGCGTTGGAGACAGGCAATCCCAAGAAGAATTAGCAATGAATATTATCAATTAAGATGGAAATAAAGCCAGAGCTAGAATTTTACTTACTTGAAAATAATTTGAATTCAGGTCATCATCAGAGGCAGTGTGGATGGTGGGTAGGAAGAAGGTGGGCAATCAGAAAGGCTGGAGCAGGCAAGCCACAGTTCTTTTGTCTGCAGACTGGAAATGTTGCCTTCAAATGAGGGGCCAAGAAGTGCATGTGCTTTCTGAGCGATATTCCCTGGATCTTGTTTACTGACATGGCCTGCTCCCACTAGTCACAGCTCAAGGCCCAAACCAGTTACCATTGTGTTGATTCTGACTCCTGGCAACCCCATGAGTATCCGAGTGTAACTGCTCTCCATGGGGCTTTCGATGGCCGATATTTTGGAAGTAGTTCACCGGGCTTTTCTTCCAAGGGACTGTAGTGGTTAAAAGTTGGGCTGCAATCTGTATGGTCGGCAGTTCAAAACCATCCATAGCTCCTCAGGAGAAAGACTGGGCTTTCTACTCCTGTAAACAGTGACACTCTTGGACACCCACAGGGGGTCGCTAGGAGTCAGCATTGACTCCATGACAGTGAGTTTGGTTTTAGTCTTGAAAACTCACCAGGCTTTTCCTCCAAAGTGCCTGTCCAGGTGGATAGGACCTTTTAGTGTACAGCTGAATACATTGGTTGTCTGCATCACGGAAAGACTCATTCACAGCCACACGGATCCCTAGTTTTCTAGCATAACTTGTAATCCGTGATTACTTTTTAAAGCCCTGGAAAGAGTTGTCTCCTACACACATAATGGGTTCTCCCTTCAGGAGTCTTCTACAATCCCAAAAGGCTGCCCGGGTGGTTTTGATACCTAGGAGTCTAAAGGTGGGGCAGTAAGTTAACAGGCTCAGTTGCCTGGAGGTTTGAATTCACCCAGAGGTGGCTGGGAAGAAGGGCATGGCAATCTCCTGATCCAAAAGGATCCATTGAAACGCCAAGGTACACAGTTTTACCCTGACACACGTGGGGGTGCCATGACCTAGCACTGACTCAAAGCTAACCCTTGACTGGTTTCCTTCCTTCGGGAAGGTAATCCTGCAGCCCATCAGGGAAGCTACTTAGCTCTTCATCTGGTACGTCTCTCTTAGAACAAGAGTTCTTAGTCTGATATCAGTCATTGTCCTGACTAATGAATTTACATTCCTGAAATTCATGGAAGTACAATTTTTGAAGGGATGATCTACCCTTCTCTTGATTCTTAAAGGGATCTCTTTCCTTAAAAAGTTATCTGCTACTATTAAAGATCATATACTCTTACATAATTATATGAGTTCGTTGAGGACAAGGAACTGCCCTTATATACATCTGCTGTACCTTCACAGACTCTCAGTCAGTCTTGGCTGAATGAATGGCTGTTAGTAGGGGATTAGATGGGTGATCAGGAAAGATAAAATACTCATTTTGGTTCTGGAACTTCTTGTTTGGAAAAATTTACATCATTTAAGTATTCAATAATCTAAGAGAGTAAGGATCATTTTCTCCATTTCTCAAATAGCATCACACCTGAGACATCCATCCAAGCATTTGATCTGCAAGTTGCAAATCTCCCCGCTTTACGAATGACTGGAGAGGCAGTTTATATTAATGGGGACGTCCCTATGAAGACGGCATGGGATATAATCTTGGTTCTTGCCTTTACTGACACCATTTATAAATCAGCGTCAGTAAAAGTTTCTACTTTTTGGCAAAGGTTAAACAAGCCTCCCCAAATATTAGCTATTCCGTATAAGTACTCAACAAATGTTAGCTATAATTATTATCTAATGGTACATTAGTTGTAAATAAAAATTGAAATTCCTCTGGTCACAGTAGGTCTCTGGGTGGCCCACATGGCTTGTGATCAGTTGTAACCTACAAGTTGGTCATTCAAGTCCACAGAAGAAGGGTCTGATAATCAGTCTCTGTAAAGGGCACCGTCAGGAAAACTCTACGGCGACGTTCTCATTCATAATATATGGGGTCATCATGTAATACATTTGTAATTGACATGATAACAGTGGAATAGGATTTCATAAAGTCTTACTTAGCCTTTGCTTTTAGAAGGCTTATTGATTGGTAATAGGTAGATTTTTGTTTTACCTGCAGGGAATGTTTTTATTAGCTTGAGATTTAATACTCCTGTCAAACGCAGTGATTTCTAATGAATCCATTTAGTTGAGTTATTGACTGACTGATACTCTATTGTATGTTGCTACTATTAGGGGACCTCTATTCAGAGCAGACTCAGAACAACCCTGTGCTCTGCTGGGTCCTGCACCGTCCTCAGACTCATTACTCTCTGTGAGCCGATTCTTAACGCCATTATGTGGGCCCATCTCACTGAGGAGCTTCTACCTTCTCAATGACTCTATTTTACCAAACATGCTATGTTTCTCCAGAGAATGGTAACAGCTCTCTCTCATAGCATGCCGAACGTACATGAGACAGTCTTATTGTCCTCCCTTCTAAGGAGCCCTCTGTCTGTACTTCTTCTGTTCATTCTTTTGGTAGGTCATGGTCCCTCATACGGTGAACTTACTATCTTAGTCTTCTACTCAAAAACAAACACAAAAAACAAAACAAACTCACTGCCGCTGATGGATCCTGAATAAACCTGACCCTGTACTTACTATGGGTTAAGACTGCCCCTAGGGGTTTCAGAAACTGCAGCTCTTCACAAGAATAGACAGTCGCATCTTACCCTGCAATCTTGCACGAGATGACATTAAATGAAATCGATGAGGCTCAGCTTTGGGCTTTTGTTGGACAGACAGCAGATGATATGTCAGCTAGCAGTATAATGTAGTGAGTAAGATAAGGTGACCAGACATCCCGCTTTGGGCAGGACAGTCCCAATTTTTAACAATTTTTCCTGCATCCCACGGCATTTTTTAAAAGTCCCGATTTTTGGAAATAGTGCATGACAAGCTAGGGTATACAGTTTTCGACAGCCATGTGGCTATTTCGCCAGGATATGAGTTTTATCAGTGGTGTCCCGCTTTTGTCCTGCTTTACCAGTGTTAAAATCTGGTCACCTTAGAGTAGGGGTATGGGCTTTTGAATCTAACTTGAATTTTAAGTTTGACAGAGTAGAACTGATTTGTACATTTTAAATACCGAGTCTCTCTTAGGTTCCCTTTCAGATTTGAGAGAGAGAGAGAGAGAAAGCTCTACCATATACCTCAGGGGTTCACCTTTTCCTGGAGTTCTCTGCTCCAACATGAGAAAGTGACAATGACACAGCAGCAGCCACCTCCCAACGGCAGCAGCACGGTAGACTTTCCTGGCAGCTGTCCCGCAGCTGTGCGTCCCACAGAGCTGTTTGGTCTCCCATTCGCAGCTGTCCTTTGCCTCCTCACACCCTGGGTGCAAAGGTACATAGTGACAGACTGAGCCGGAGTCACGTAAACTAAGGGAGAATTCTTTACGAAAGCAAAGCAAACAACAAAACTTGAAAGATCTCAGGTTAAAAAACAAAGATTTCTGCAGTTTCCTGAATTTGGTAGCACAAGTCTGACAAGCCTGATTGTGACTTTCTGACTCAAACGCCCATTAGAACGGAACTGCACTTCAGTTAAACGTGTATGTGCTGTTTTTGTCTGTTCCCTAATTGCAATACATTTTTCCAGATGCATTTGATCAATATCGCTTTCCAAATGGTTTTAATGATGAGTGTTTGGGGTCATTGTTATTTTTCTGTTCATTTTAAGGATCACAAACAAAGGAAGAGCAAACTTAATTGTTTAAATAGGCAGCTTAGTGTTCTAGGCCCGGTCCCATAATGACAGAGTGCAAGGGTACAGGAAAAAGAGGAGCCCTGTAACCCGCGTCTGCCACTCAAGCTGTTTGTGCGGAGACAGGACTTCCAGAACACTGGCATGCAGAGAGGAGGACGTGTGACTCAGAAGCATCTAGGCAGTGACACCGTCTTCTTCTCCCAAGGGAAAACAAAGCCACATTCAATTCGATTTCGAGCCAGATGAGTGTGATATTTAGAAATATTCGTGTAATTTCCCGTTTGTTGCTGGGGTGGTAACATAGACCGGAGTAGGGAAGGGTCATAGTGTAGCCAGAATTCAGCTTTACTTTCAACTGTGGCAGGAGGCACCTTGTGCCCAGAAGGTTGTCTCAGGGTGGAGCAGCCTCCTAAGGAACCAAATTGTATGGGAACACCCACAATGGTGTGCTGAGTCTGTGCCTCTTCTGGGTCAACTTTAACTTGAGTTCTCTAGCCTCGGCTGGATAAATGAAGACCAGAGCTACATAAATACCTTCTGGTAAGTTTGTTAGATGCCACGACCAAAATGTGTGTGGCGAGGTTGTGAAAATCTGTTAACCTGAACAAATATGACTTCTACTTATTGTATGTGTATCTACTCATGTTGTTAATCCAATAAAAGTGGCCGCCATAACTATCTAGTGTCTAGGATTATCTTCAGAATTTATCATTAACTTGACTATTAACTGACTTTAAAAAACAGGATTAACATATCCTTTCTTATGGAAATGGTAAATGCGGTATTGAAAACCTTCCATTTGTTTTGTTTTGTAGCTTTGCCAAGAAAATATTGTAGACATTTACCTTTCATTTTATTTTTTCAGGGATGATCAATAATTTGTCAATTATTGTTTCGTAGACTTAAAACAAGTCCAACATGGCCCTCCGAGCACTCTTCTCTCTGCTGGTGCTGCAAAGTATGGCTTCCGGGGCCACTCTCCCTGATGGAACAATTGCCGATTTGTCGGTGAATATATACAACCATCTTCGAGCCACTGGGGAAGATGAAAATATTCTCTTCTCTCCCTTGAGCATTTCTCTTGCAACGGGAATGATGCAACTTGGGGCCCAAGGGTCTACGCTGAAGGAAATCCGTCATTCCATGGGATATGATAGTCTGAAAAATGGCAAGTACCTTGCGGTTTGATTTCTCAAGATGATTTCACTTTAACTTTAAACTCTGTTATGGGCTCTCTGATGCCAGACACATGGGAGGAAAGAATCTCGTTGCAATGGGAGAGCCGGGAGAAGGGATTAGGAGTCTCGAGGAAGGTATCAATGTCAAAGTGTACTCGTGGCTGACTCTTGTCGTCGTTAGGTGTCATCGAGTCGGTTTTGACTCACAGGGTCCCTATGTGCACTCGATCCTCTACCATCCTCACAATTTTCTTAGGTGTGAGCCCACTTGTATAGCCACCATGTCAATCACTTCATTGAGGTCCTTCCTTATTTTCACTGCCCTTCCACTTTATCTAGCAAGATGTCCTTTTCCAGGGACTGGTCTTTCCTGACAGCATGTCCAAACTATGTGAGACCAAGTCTCACCATTCTTCCTCTGTGGAGCATTCTGGCTGTGCTTCTTCCATGAGAGATCTTTTTGTTCTTTGGCAGTCCATGATACTTTCAATATTCTTTGCCAACACTATTGTTCCAATATTGTTTTTTAGTCTTCCTGATGCAGCGTCCAACTTTCACATGCATACGAACCGATTGAAAAATACTATGACTTAGGTCAGGCACACCTTAGTAACTTAGTAACTAACATCTTTGCTTTTTAATACTTTAAAGAGCTCCTGTACATCAGATTTTCCTAATGCAGTCCATTGTTTTATCTCTTGACTGCTGCTTCCATGAGCATTGATTATGGATCCAAGCAAGATGCAATCCTTGACAAATTCAATTTTTTTATCTATTTATCATGATGTTAATTAGTGGTCCCATCGTGAGCATTTTTGGGTTCCTTACATTGAGATACAATCCACACTGAAGGCTGAAATCCTTAATCTTTATCAGCAAGTGCTTCAAGTCCTCCTCACTTTCACCTAGCAAGGTTGTGCCATCTGCATATCTCATGTTCTTAAGAAGTTTTCTCCAAATCCTGATGCCACATTCTTCATATAATCCAGTTTCTCTGATTATTTTCTCAGCATATAGATTGAATAAGTATGATGTGAAGATATAACACTGAAATGCAACTTTCCTGATTTTAAACCATACAGTATTCCCTTGCTCTGTTCACCCAACTTCTTGATTCTTGTTCAGGTTCCAAATGAACACAACGATCTATTCTGGAATCTCCATTCTTCTCCAGGCTACCTATAGTTTGTTGTGATCCATACAGTCCAATGACTTAGCCTGGTCAATGAAGTCAAGTAAACATCTTTCGGGGATTCTCTGCTTTCAGTGAAGATCCATCTGACAGCAGCCACGATATCCCTTGTACCAAGTCCTCTTCTGAATCTGGCCTGAACTTCTGGTAGCTCCCTGTCAATATGGTACTGCAACTGTTGTTTGGTGGTTTTCAGCAGAAATTTACTTACATGTGATATCAATTCTATTGTTAAATAATTTGAGTATTCTCTTGGGTTACTTTTCTTTTGAATGGGTGCAAATATGTATCTCTTCCAGTTCTTTGGCTAGATATCTGTCTTCCAAATGTCCTGACAGATGATTGGGTGCTTCTAGTGCTCATCAGCTTGTTGAATCATTCAAATTGGTATTCCAACAATTTCTGAAGCCTTGTTCTTAGCTAATGCTTTCAATGCATCTTGGACATCTTCCTTCAGAACTAATGGTTCATGCTCATATGCTACCTCTTGTAATACTGGGATGTGGAATAGTTCTGTTAGCTACAGTGATTCTGTGTATTCTTTCCCTCTTCTTTCGATGTTTCCTGCATCATTCAATACTTTGCCTATAGAATCTTTCAATATTGCAACTCGGGGCTTGATTTTTTTCTTTAGTTCTTTCAGTCTAAGATATGATGAGTATATTCCTTCATTTTGGTTTTCTAATTCTAGGTCTTTGCACATTTCATTATAATATTTGACTGTCCCCTTGAGCAGCCCTTTGAAAGTTTCTGCTCAGTTCTTTAACTTCATCATTTCTTCCTTTTGTTCAGTTACTCTATAATTAAGAGCGAATTCCAGAGTCTCTTTTGGCATCTAATTTTATCTTTTTGTTCCTGTCTTTTTAATAACCTTTTGCTTTCTTCATAGATGTCATCCCACAGCTTATCAGCCTGCCTGTCATTAGTGTTTAATGCATCAAATCTGTTCTTGAGATGTTCTCAAAATTCAGGTGGGATAAACTCTGGATTATATTTTGACTTTTGTAGACCATCTTTTAATTCTCTGAAATTTTAACCTGAATTTACATATGAGCAATTAGTGGTCTATTTCACAATTCCCCCTGGCCTGGTTTTAGCTGCTAATATTGAGCTTCTTCAAGGTCTCTTCCCATGGATGTAGTCAATTTGATTTCTGTACATTTTATCTGAAGAAGTCCAAGTGTACTTTGTGTTGGTGACAAAGGTATTTGTGATGAAGAACTCATTGGTCTTGTAAAATTCTAGTATCTGATCTCCAACTTCGTTTCTATCACCGAGACCATATTTTCCAGCTACTGTTCCTTCCTCTTTGCATTTTTGCATTCCAAATGCCAGTGATTATTAATGCCTCTTGATGACTGACAGGTTTGATCCATTTCAGACAGAAGAAGTTGGTAGAATTCTGTATCTTTTCATCACTAGCTTTGGTGATTGATGGATAATAGCAGTATGAATTAGATTTCCTTGAAGGTAGAATGATATAACCCTATTACAGATAGCATGATATTTCAAGATGTATCTTTAAATGTTCTATTTGAAGATGAATGCAATGTCATTTCTCCTGATTGTGTTTTTCCCAGCATAGTAAAATCGTGTAATATTCTGATTCACAGTGACCAACAATACCGGTTCATCAGCTCACTTACTAACACCTAGATATCAATCATGATGCATTCTATTTAACTTTTAATGAATTTTAATTTTCCCGCATTCATACTTCTTATATTCCAAGATACAATTATTTGATGTTTGCAGCTGTTTCTTCTCATTTAGAGTCGTGCTCTGTCACTAAATGAGGGGCCCAAAGGTTTTACTCCTGCAGGCTCTACTCCGTCCTCATCATTATGTCTGCTTCTTTGAGAAAGGCACCGCTGCCCCAGGTAGATTTGGAGTGCATTCCCACCTGAGGGATTCCTCAAGTCAATGCCAACTCCTAGCACCCGATAGGATAAGGTAGAACTGTCCCTGTGAGTTTACGAGTCTGTAACTCTTTACAAGAGTAGAAGACCCAGTCTTTCTCCCAGATGGCTGACTAGCGCTAAGGAAATGACTTGATTTTAAACAGTTGAAAGGAACCCCACTGGATAAACCAAAGCAACCCTGCTTCTTAACCTCATGGGGTCTTTAGTCTGGAGAAAGGGGCATCTATTAACCAATTAACACACACACAACTGAAGAATTACTATTGAGATGAATGAGAAAAAGCAGCATGATTGATGAAGAAGATAAAAAAAAGTTTTTCATAAAATCAGCTGTATCCTCTTGGATCAAATGTCATTAAGTAAGTTTTGAAATGCTTTAATATGATTGAAAAATATTCATTAGGGAAATTTCCTAACGAAAAACTGTTTGGTAATCATTTTGATAAAATATAGAATTTTAACTTTAATGTCTTTAATGTGCAGGTGATTAACATAAAAAGTTAAGAACCAAAACAAAAAAGTGAAGAACCAAAACAACTTTTAGTTACTTGACTAGTAATGCATTAGCATAAATTAAGAATCTAGTGAGACTGAAATTTAAGGGAACTATGGAATTAAACTGGAAATTATAAAATAACACTTATCTGAAAGTAGCCTGAATACTTTGAAAGAACCCAACAAGGAAAAGCTCTCTACTTATAGATTCCTTCAAGGTAACAATTAAAGATAAAATTGGTATGAGTCGGTATGTAAACTGTTCATTTGAAGTTTTAGAAGAAAAACACATATTGGAGGCTCCTTAGGTTAATGTAGGGAATAAGCCTTGCACTTTTCCTTTGGGCTTCTGTCCTATTAATCTCTCTAAAAAAATCATTGTATGCCATGCTGTAATACCCTTCAGTTCACCTTGATCTCATTGTATGCCATGCTGTAATGCCCTTCAGTTCACCTTGATCTCATTGTATGCCATGCTGTAATGCCCTTCAGTTCACCTTGATCTTTCACTATGCTTGTCACTGATGATTTCTTTTGTTACCTCACAGGTGAAGAATTTTCTTTCTTGAAAGATTTTTCTAACATGGTAACTGATGAAGAGAAGCAGTATGTGATGAAAATTGCCAATTCCCTTTTTGTGCAAAATGGATTTCATGTCAATGATGAGTTTTTGCAAATGATGAAAAACTATTTTAATGCAGAAGTAAATCATGTGGACTTCAGTCAAAATATAGCTGTGGCCAATTACATCAATAAGTGGGTGGAGAATAACACAAACAGTATGTCTTTGGTTCCTTTCTTTCTTTGCTTGTTTGATTTTAACCATGTTTTCCTTCCATAATTACTTGCCCCATAACTCCTTTTGTATGTTGCTTACTAGAGCATTTAGTTGGGTACATTATAGCTGCAATGTATGAAATACAGTCTGTTTAGAAGCATCATCTATGGATAACTATTTGAGAAAGAATTTAAATCATTTGGTTTGTATCTCATTTGGCACTGATAATTAATCCAACTGATGAGATTTCTTTTTAACTTTAACTACTGCATAGAATTTTCCTGAGCTGCTTATTTAATAAATTAGATATTCGAATATCAGGTGGTGATTCTCTTAAAAATATTTAACTAAATATAATTTAAATAAAATAAGATAACTCTAAAAAGCTGTAGTCCATTTAAAACCAAAGAACAGAGGAAGAGAAAGAGATGTATTTATGTTACCTTTGATTTCTTTTTTTTTTTTTTTAAACATTTTATTAGGGGCTCATACAACTGTTATCCCAATCCATACCCACATCAATTGTGTAAAGCGCATTTGTACATCGTTTCTCAAAACATTTTCTCTCCACTTAAACCCCCGACATTAGGTCCTCATTTTCCCCCTCCCTCCCCGCTCCCCGCTCCCACCTTTGATTTCTAATTCCTACTTTTATAATTTATTACAGGCTTCTAAATGCTTTGTATTTCATAATTCTGTTCCCATTTACTGGAAAATTAATTGACATTAGAATTTAACAGGAGTCTAAATTGAAAGTAGGTTACTACAGTTTCTCACTAATTTGTCCTATTGTCAACTCCCGAGATAATATGAATTTAATAAATTTGATGATGGGAAAAGCTGATCAGTTGCCACATGTCCTTTATTTCCTCAAATGCTGAGGGACCTTGCATCTTGAGAAATGCTAAGATTCATAAAATGAGAGCCTGCCCAGCAAATTCGGGGCCTATATCTTTCAACTGTAAGATTAAAATGTAAGATGAAGGAAATATTTTTTTTTAATTAAAAGTAAAAATGCACCTGAAATAAATTGAATTATTAAAAGTTATTTGTTTCCCAAATCCTTTAGACACTTTGGCCTGACAGTAATGACCCAATGTCTTTCAAAACACATTTGGAAAGAGAATGTCAAATGGTGGAAAATATTGCATTATGTTAAATAGGCTTTCACTTATTTGTTTTCCCTCAGTCAAAAGCAGTGTGTTGTGCTTGGTGGAAAGATTTCCATACATGAGGAAAAAGTTTGAATTGGATGACACTTTAATCATACTTAGAAATATTTTTCCTGAGTGCTTTCTTTATGTTGAGTTTTACATGCATCATGTCAATTAGAAAGTGGTGAAGCCTGACATGCAGTATTGTGTGTGGTTCTGTTGTTTGTACATGTGTGCCAAGAGACTGCTAGTGGCATTATTTTGTTTGATATAGGCATGTCCTTAATAGTTAACACACATGCAAAAAAAATTATATTTTTCTTTGAAAGTGGAATACTGTTCATTTTTATTACTAGTTGAATAGTGTGTGGGGTTAAGGGGAAGAGGGAACCCCACAAAACATCACAGGTTCGGTAGGTGCAATTGTACAGCGATAATAAGTAGAGATTATAGTAAAGTCATA